TATCCACTCAAACCCCAGAGTTTTAGGTACCGAACTGAACATAGCGTTCCTGAAAGAGTAGGACAAATTGGAAAAGTGAAAATGTTAGGGGAGGTATGAGCCAGAAGCCAAAACTCCAAGTACTTTTCCCTGCATCATCTTATGCTGTGAGACCCGAAATCTGCACAAACACTGTTCCCTCCTGAGACAGAAACAAGGAAGAATTTGAAATCTGTAAGGCTGAAAATAACTTTACCAAAAGTCTTTCTCTCGCATTTCTGTTGCCATGTTAGATACTAGAAAAAGTACAGAAGTGCGTGGACGTTTGGATGTGAATACTTGACAATGTGTCATGCTGTCCTGTGGTCTGCCATGAAAAGCAAGTCACAAGGGTGACTGTAATGCAAGGATTGCTGAGTTGGATAGCGTGAGCTTTGCCGGCGGCAGGGTAACATGAAAGCAACCTGCACTGAATTCTTTTGCTACAGCGGCACATCTGCATCCCCTTGGGATCAATAAGCCCTGGGTGGAGAATTTTTTTGTCTCACCTGGTTCTTCTTTTCCTCTTTCCTTATGCACTTTTCAAACAGCACAAGAAAACAGACTGTGTACCCCTGGCATTGTGCCGCACAACTTTGTCCCTAACGAGCCTGAACCATGAATTTTTTGCAGATTATGATAAAGCTGGACTTGGTTGTCTATTGCCCCATGTCTTTGACAGCACATATCAACACAATTTTACAGATTTTATCTCTAGCGTAAATGACTGGACAGACCAATGCTTTCCACAGGCTTTCTGTTATCTGATATATGCTGTAGAAAGAATCCTTTCCATCTCCATCCTTTCCTACTGTGCATGCTTGCTGCTCCTCTATTTCCCTTTTCCTTTTCCTCTATGTTACTGTGTGGGATTAGCAATGGATGCTGAGCACTGTTCAGATACAGCCCAATGATCTGCCAGTGAATTCCCTCTATAGGTGTTTGAATTTCCCAAGTGTAGCTTCCAGATTTAATTTAGACCCGTTATAGTGCTGGAACAGAGTTCTGCACTTTCATTATTTTCTGTCCTGGGAGATTTTATGCTCCCTCATGTTATCCCAGAAAGACATGCAAGCAGCTGCATAAAGCATCGTGTTTTGTGATGGTTTTATTTTTGCCTAGCTCATAATTAAGAGTTACTTGGTGAGTTACAGTATTATTCCACATCTGCTGTCTAACACTACAGAGTCACTGCTCAGTCCAACCAGCATTTCTTTTTTATTATTATTATTATTAAAAATATTGTGGTCTTCTGAATAAGTTAGAAAATTACTTTATTGAAATGTTACTGCTACCACTGAGGGCTCTTCAGCTCCTCATACTACTTACTGTTGCAAAGCTGATAAATATGAAACATTGCCTGTTGATAACCTGCAAGGAACATTATTTTCCTCAAGTGGAACAAGCTCTCTAGTTGTGACGTATTGGAGGGATCTTTACTCCAACTGCCACCCACTAACATGTTAATCAGCAGCAAAGTGAAGAGTCAGAGCCAAAACCTCAAACCCAAAAACTCATAAAAACCTGAAGGAAATCACTTGCATGTTACTCACCAGTAAGGCTGGCATAGATTTCCTGAAACTTTATGATCTTTTTGTTTTTTCTCCACAGAGCAGATGACATTTATGTGAGAGGTATTTTCCATACTGACTGGGTGCTTTACATCCCTA